GGCGTCACCTGATGGTAACGGAAGTGCACTGCGCAAGGCGCCTGCCGGCGCTCTTCAGGCCCGTGTAGATCTGCCCCATCTCCATGGCCCCCTCCAGGCCCACCACCTCCAGAAGGTGATCTGACGGGTCTGGAATCAGAGTGACCGGTTACTGGGGATCACCGTCGCCGACTCCCAGACGCGGCCAGGAACAGGCTGGCTCAAGGAGCCCGACGGCAAAGATGGGGGGGCGGAAGGAGCCCGACGGCAAAGATGGGGGGGCGGGGGGGTGACGGGGACACTATTCAGCCAGAGGGGCACAAAAGTGGCAGCGGGGTCTGTTAGGAAGGAAACACCTCGGATGGGTCCGGGACATGGGCCACTTCCGCATTCTGCGAAGCACCTTAAAAGCACCTTCGCTACTGGAAACAAAACAAAACACCTATTAATTAGATTGCGGCACCGATGCTTGTGTTCATATATAATTATTAATTTCCTTTTTTGAAGTTATGAGCATTGATTTTTTCCCCTGCTGGATACCTGCATCGCGCTGGGACCATCTGCTCTGCTCCCCGTCTCTGAAGGGCCTCTTTCCCAGCAGCCGTTCCTCAGCCCGCCCTGCGCCTTGCCCCTCTCCTTAAACGAATCTGTTCTCTCAGTACTCATGTCCAGATGTCAGATTAAATCCTGATATCTGCTTTACCGTCGCGGGAAAGGGGCTCACGTTTAATTACAGTGCAGGCACCTCAGAGGATGCCGCTTTTAGGTGCGCTATTGCTGTTGTTAAGTGTTCTGCCGTCGCCATAGCGATAATTCGAGGCCCTCCCTCCGTGTTCCCGAAGGATTTGGGTGGGGGGTAACTGGCTGCCTGGGTCATGTGGGAATTGGCACACAGTGTCCTGACTCCAGTGACCGTTCTCTGCAAATCGGCCCCCCTGACTTGTCTCCTGTAGTTGGAGCTGACACTCAGCACGGGCCCAGCCGACGGACAGCAGCCCCGAAGCCCCTGGAGAGAGGTGGGGGGGGGTTTGATTCGGGGTTCCCCGGCCGCGGAGGCAGAAATCGTGGCCTATTTACGCAAGGGTGCCCCGAGTGAGTAGCGGGACGCTAACGGCTCGACAAAGCTCCAGCGGAGATTAGCGGCGAGAGAGAAGACTCGCCCAGTAGACAATTTGATTCTACTGAACACCTTTAAACAGCTCAAATAAAGACCTACGGTCCACATTGCCCCTTGGAGCTCCAGCTGCCCAAGCAAAGCTTTTCTTTAATGAGTCACACATTAAGATACTTAAATCCAAAATGAACAGTTATATTGATGGACACAACAGAGCAGGTCACACTGTTTGCACATATATTTGCATTATAATTGCAAATTGCATGCAATATATGTTACATACTACATGTATGGATGTATGTTGTCTATATGGTGCCTGTGTCATTCTGTCCGCATTATGCCCTAACTGTTTGTCGTCTTTTGTCATGGCGTCCCAACAATAGCAAACTGTGCCAACAAAAATGGCCACGCGGCAATAAATATTCTGATTCTGAAAATAAAACGTGAAGATCTCAGTGCCCTTAATCGCTGCACGTGAGTCTCACATAGACATTTATTCCTGTTGAATGCAAATAATAAAAAATTATTCCTAAACGTTTCGCGTGCGCTGCTCCCTCGATATTTCAAAAATCGTAAATGTTTTGCATTAATGAGACAAAACTGTAAACTCGATTCGACGGCACAGCTGCTTGGCGCTACTGCTTTTTTGCGGGAGGTCGGCTAAATATAGATCACTGGGAACGACATAATGCAGAAATAGCGCAGAGCACTGCTGACTGTCATCCGCCACAAAAAAAAACTAAATCACACAAAAAAATACAGTGCATCTAACAATGAATTCATCCTGACGCTAAACAGCTACGTATAGCTATTCAGTGGCTTTTTAGCGCGGCTGAGCGAGGGCTAATAAGACTCGGCATCTGGGGCCAAGGTCTCGGCGCTGCCAAGGTTTAAGGGGGTTGCAGGTGTCACCGAAGAAAAGCCACGGAATGGCACGCGAATGCCGAAACGCGGCGCGGGGGAAAAAAGCGTGCTGATGATGCTGAAAACGCACTTCAGCGGGGAGGGCTCTCTTTAGCGGTGCTGAGGAAACCCAGCTTCAAATTTAGCCTCTTTCATTCCCCTTCCCCGCTGTATTGGGAGTGCGCCTGACTGGTCGGTCGCGTACAGAAAGAAGCGCCTGACACACATGCCCATATATGGCTGCCTTTCTGCACGGAGGGGCAAAGGAACAAAAAGCGGGACGATGGAGACCTCCGCAGCTGCGGCATTCATGCCGGATAAACAGTTCAGTGTCTCGACGATAAACAGGGATGCGCAGCGGGGAACCAAAACATGGCGGGACCCAGTAACTCGGGTCGCCAAGCTGGGGCCCTGAAATCCGACAGTGTACGGCAGCGAAGCCGGGGCCAGACTGGCTGGACCCGGATTTCTGGAGGCCGGTCAGAGCGACGTCCGTTCCTGGTTCCGGTTTATACTGGGCCGGCGGAGCTGACGTGGGGCGCGCCTCGTGGGAGCCTGCGGGGCCAGAAGGCTTAACGGGGGGGGCCCTCGTTCCTCGAACCGCTCTCACGGAGCGTGTCACAGGACATTAGTCATCCGCACCCCGCACCCGTGCTGAATAATTCACCCCCAGCCATTCCTTTCCACCTGAAGGGCTTGTCTCCTGGCGTCACCAGCGGGCGACTTAACAGCTCCCAAAAGGTCAGAGTTTTCAGAGTTTGATCCGTGCTCTGCCGGCAGCCTGGGGCTAATGCACTCCATGTTTGTGGACCCTCTAATACCCCATTCTCTGCTACGACAAGTTGGGCTCTAACCTTGAACGTACCTTCAACGAGGACAACGCCGCTAAGTGCCGTCTCAGATTCGGCCGAAGAATTTCCACGTTTAAAAAAAAAAAAATCGCATTTTCGTGTGATTAATGGAGGAGAATTGCCCCCACAGCCCTGTACTAATTGATCACCTGGCCCAGCTTTTTATTTATTCTTTTTACAGTAAACAATTTCTAAATCAATCCCGACAGTCCGCCTCCTCCCGCAGGCTTCCCTCGCAAGTCGACCAGCAGATGAGATCCCTAAATGAATGATGCCACAAGATATAAGAAAATACACGCCTGATACAAACTGGCGCATTCATCAGTGCTCAACCCCCATCGATCGAGTCTAAGGGGACCTCTTTAGCTGTCTACAGCGTAGTAGCCAAGAGCCAGATAATAGATTTTATAGTGTAATTTTTAACTGATAAGGACATTAATAGCTTAATGAATGGCTTTCTTTGCTCATATCGCATTACTGTAGCTTTCATGCACCAAAGTATGTTGTGATAAACATGCTAAGACATCCTCAGCATACTGTTAAAATTACTGAAAGTGCATAATTCCGCTGTGCAACATTTTGTTCCTGTTTGTGCAAAACCCTGACAGTGGGCTATAGGGTGGGGATGGAGACTATGAAAGAGGTGCAAATGATCAAAAGGGGTGCAGATATATGTTAAATACTTTTTAGTCTTTTTAATGTACAGTTATCTAGAATAAATTTCCCTGGTACAAGGTGTAGCAGTGTTACTGATACTAAGAAGCCAGCTCTGCTTCTAGTATTATGAGGCAGAAACATCAGATGTATTACAGGAGAGTGGTAAAAAATCCATTAGACCTATGCATTAAAAGTTATTTAACAAGAGTCCAGCTGTGCAAATATATAGTGCATTTCTTTGAAAAAAAACATATATAGGCCACCCATATCTATGGTTGTACATTTTCTAAATGGGGTGAATGGGGATAGACTGGAAAGGAAACGTGCCTGAAGATTCCCTGTTTTGTTTACACAAGCGTGTTACAGCTGACAGGCAGGAGCTGGACAAATTATCCACGAGGCCCACATCTGTACAAACATGCAATTGGCCGGTCATGCCTCCCGGCACGCATTCAACAGACACCTAGTTTTCGGTATGATTTGCACGACGGTGCAGTTTGGCGTGTGCAGTGTGGGATGTAAGGACGCAGAGTGCCGCCCACAATGTTTTTATCAACGTGCTGTTGGACCAGGGCTGTGTACGGCTCTGATTAGGCCTCAGTCCCATTTTGTACCCTGAAAATGATTTTCTTTCTGGTGTCCTACCAGTAATACTGATTGACGGGATCCTTGAGGTGTAAATCTGTTCACTGGCGTAGACGACATGGAGGCAGAGGGAATCAGATCAGTCTGGTCTCGTTAGGCACGCTGGTCAGGTGACGCTTACCGAAGCCATTAGGGGGCAGTAACGATGCAAAACAGTGACATAGAGCTGCACTGCCTCCCCCCGAACGAAACTCGGAAAGAGTTATTCAGCTTGTCACTGGTTAATAATTCATCACAAAAGAAAGACAACTTCCCCAAATTATTTTCTGATTCATGAGCTCTGAACAAGGATGTGTTCGTCAAATTCCTCACGGACAAGTACTGTATATTTTTGCATATTATTCACAGTGAAAACCTGTATCTTATGTTGATCTAAAAAGAAAAAAAAAAACGATTTCTTCTTCATTTGTTTTGTTGGCAAACATTCAAGAGTTAAAAAAGAAATGACAAAGTAGGGAACGTCTTGGACGGAATGCCAGTCCATTACAAGCATAAAGGTCAAATTTGGGGACCCCCCCCCCCCTCCAATTTGCCTAAATCTCTGTAACATTGAGAGCAAAGGAAACTGGAGTACCTGGGGAACACAGGGTGGGGGCCACTCTCAGGGCGGGGGCCACTACTCAAGGCGGGGGCCACTCCTTAGAATGCGTGGATCGATACTGGAATATTGATTCTCTTGATCTGGATGTTTCATTTCGGGAATTGATTGTGATGTTAAAATATCAATTTTTTACATGGTAGTTTAAATGTTTATATTATTACAGAGAGCAGGACATCATCTACTGCCAAGCAGGGTAGTAAGGGCGGTGAAAGGGGGGGGGGGGTTCTGGGGTCCAGGCACTAGGCGGATACAATTAAATCCGCTCCTGGCTTAGGGCTCTGGGAAGCATAGAGGTTTCGCCCATCCCTAGTCAAACGTGCACTACTGGGAAGAGGCTACATCGTTACCCACGGAGAAAACACACCAAGCAATTTGTTGACAATCTAAAGTCTAAATGACATCTTCCTTTCTGTTAGTTATGAGGTGCGTCTGTGTGTCTGTGCTATCTGCCATTACTCAGTAGTGCGTCTCCCATTACTCAGTAAAGATGGTCTTTACTTGATGATGCTGCAGATAAAGGTAGTCAGATACTCCAAAGGCAGATAGATTCACCCAATCAACAAGCAACGTTTTGCTCTATGCATCATGGGGCCACATAGATAAAAACATCCAAGTATTAAAAGTACAGTCAAAAATCTGAACAGCCAGAGTAATCCATCTAAGAGGCAGTTCTTTGATTATTTTAGCTAAACATGGGATTCCGAGCAAACCAGGTAATTGCATTAACAATAACTTTTGATGCCTCTTTCCACATTGTGATACTTGAAAATTGGCCCTCAGACTTCTTAGCCTGTAAAATATACCCCTATATTGTCGAATAAAGCAACATCTGTTTCTCCCCATTTCACTGCTATATTTAATTATGAAATCACTGAGGAGAAATTATATCTGCGTCTCAGTCTTGTCAAAATAGCATAAGAAACACTCATAATGCAGCTCAGAATGTTTTCATTTATATTCGAGACCTATCTCAGGCTTTGTAGACGCACTGCCAAGAGGGTATACTTATTCATACACTAACCTAAAACAATAATAATAATAATAATAATAATATCAGTAATAATAATATGTATGAGTGATATTTCAGCTTAGTATCTTACAAATAAGATGACACCAAACATTCCAGCTAATTGCTCTTGTCCCAGCCCTGAAGTCCTCGATAAGGTGCAGTGGGACAGAGGGGGTCCTGCTGAAAAGCATCTACGCACCAAGCCCAGGTGAACGTCAGGCTCTATTAACGCTGAACCATTTAGACGTTCAAACAGAGAGAAGCAGGTAAATAGAAGCGTGTGCGTCCATAACAACAGGAGGGGATTCTCCTTTCGCCACGCCGCCGTTGATTGCATGCGTTAGTCTTCCAGCTGCAGTGTTATCAAGCAGTTTGTTTGTCCTCTGAACCACACAGGTGTCACTGTGTAGCCAAGGAAACCAGCTAATTGAAAAAATAGCATCTCTTTTAGTGCAGCACAATATTGGTTTAACGTTTAACTTTTTACGTCATTTACATTAATTTTCTTCCAAGACAAAGTGTGAGGTACAAGTCTATCCAGGGGTGGACTGGCAGAAAGCAGCCCAAAAATTTGAAAATATACTGGGGTGGGCTGGTGGTGGTCTTGGCTGATTGTGGTCATCAGTGACATTACTCATTTCCTGCTATCGACCAAGAATCATGAAGAAATTGACCGACGAGTTGGGCAGCCCTGGTACAGTATATGGTCTATATAATAGCTGGGGTTGGGGAAGGAAGACTGGTCAAAAGGCAAGATTCCGAAACTTCCAGATGGCCAATCCGCGCCTGAATCTATCACAGGGACAGAAAAGAGAAAGGCGGCTTTTCTGCAGAACCCTGAATTGCGTCTTAGAACCTTCATATTATGCTAAACTAAATGAAAGAGAAAATCACATTAAAGGACTAACTTAACCACCTCCCAGACAGATCTGAAACACCTTCCAACAGCACCCTAAATTTGCCAAGCTGACCTTATTTATCCCAAATGAGCTAATCGAGGCCAGCTGGATCTCCTTAACGGAGACATTCGTTAGCATGAGGCTGGTGATCAAACACCTTCTTAAGACACAAGATGGCAGTTCATGCTACACTTTAAACGACACGGTAAAACAATAACAATAAATAAATAAAATAGAATTCCACAAAGTTACATCCCTCATTATATTATAACCGGTTAATTGTTTGAGCAAATATGGTCACATACTGATTCCAGCAGGCAGATTTTTGAGTATAAGCCTGCGTAAAAAATGATAATATTTAATTAGTAGAAATAATAAAGTAATAATGTATAACTCTGTAACAATGTAATTCCAGACCTAGCTATATGCACTGTATGTATATGTGAGTATTGCTCCCACACTTTGTATAAAGATTTTGTAGGGAGGGAAAATCGTAGAAGACAAATTGCATGGGCCATACAATCCACCGGTGTTCTCTCAGTACTGCAGAGTCCAAGGCATGTCGGTTAGGTGAATTTGTAACTCTTAATTGCCCAATAGTCCCAGAAAAGCAGCTACAGAAAATGTTGCCGTTTACACCGGTGTTACCTTGAACAGCAAAAACGAGCTCTTTGGGGTCAGTCAGGGGAGTCCGTTTGTCGCCAACTTTTTTTCCAATTCTCCGGTGGCTCCGCCTCTTCCTGGTCTCCCCCCACAGGTTAGAACCGCCGTGCATGCTCGGGATGTTCAGGACGGCGATTCCCTCAAGGGAGACGTCGCTGAAGTCCAGCTGGATACCATCGCACTTCACCGTGTGACAAAGGGGAGCGGCCACACGCGTTAGCTCCTGCGGCTCAACAAGTACAGCGTCACGCTAATAATGCGAAGGTCATGGGTTCAAATCCCAGACAGCTTTGGGTAGAAGTGTCAGGTGGTTGGAATTTCCACAGGATGTGTCGTGTTGTCAGCTACTCAAAGCCCGTTTTGTAACGCGTCAGACCACATTTTACAAGTGAGCTGATTCAAAATTCACTCCCCATTGTTTATCTTTAACAGATTTTCTGTTCTTCAAAATTATTAATGGAATATGAGCTAATTTAGTTAACGATGTGTAGTACTAATCTGAAATGGCAACAAAGGATTTCAGTCACCTCCCACAGACTCAGCTGAACAACTCTTGGGATCTCGACATCGCACGAGAAAAAAAAAAAAAAGAGAGAGAGGAACCCTGATTGTTCCTGACTTCAATGGCTGTGGGATGATCTCATGCCTCTAATGAGACAAGTTACTTCTGCAATCCCAGTTCTGAATATTTCTGAATATAAAATGTGTCACTAATACATCACAGAAGCAGAACAAAATCTGTTTTAATAATTTTCAGATTTTGGTCTAAATAAAAGCTAGTATTTGATTAATAATTTGAATTCCCTCTGAATGTTACACCCAGCATCAGGATAACGTGTAACTGCTTTTGTATATTCCTGCTTATGCCTGTAAACTCTCAGCAGCCACAACAGTTCCCCTCTGCGGATTCTCAGCAGAGAGCATTTAGTCCTTATAATTTACTTTCTATATGAAGGTGGTTTGGTCTTTGACAACCTGGAAATGTCCAGTGGGGGGGTGCAGCCCTCTGCCAGGCGTGACCCACAGCTGTTAAGACCCACTGCTGCATGTTTATTCCCGGCGAAAGCGCGCCGGAGGCGTTGCGAGCGCGAGCTGTGCATCGTGCCCTCTACCTTTGCTCGTCCCCCCACGGCTAACTAATGAGGGCCTCGGGCTTCTGAGATGCCCCAGCAGAGGGACGTGGTGGAGATGGATCGGTCCGGCGTCGCCTTCATTATCACCCGGTATCGCACGCAGCGGGCAGATCAGAGATAATTACCTGTGTGCTCATCTGAGGCACCGACAGGGAGCTGCCCCCCCCTTCAGCAGCTCCTCTGCCCTCCTCCCCAACGTCAGAGCCGACGCCGTTGCTAACTAACCAGCTAAGGCACTTTAAACATGGAGCTACGCTGCCCACTGTGATCATACTGCCCATGTGATCAGCAAAGGTGAAAGCTCCTTCTGATGCGTAAATATATAATACAATATATAAATAAAGGTGTCAAGGCATTTAATTTACATTCGGTGGTCAAAATCAGTCAAAGGGAGCGTGAATACTGATACATCAAAGTAGTGGTAATGACATTATTCTATTATTCATCACAGCAACAGTCAAATCCAGCCTAAAAATGTATAATGCATTAGACCTGCAAAGAGTGCCCTCCAAGTGCAGTAAGATGGTTTGGAGTTACCTCCACTTCCAGGAAGTCGTGCAGCTTTTTACAGGTGGCAGAAAAAGTTTCAGACGTCCCAAACTCGAAGTACCACAGCTTGTTCTTGGTCCTGAAAGCAGAAACAAACGGACCTCAGTAGTGGAAGTGTCATTTGATAAGCGTTTGTCCATGCAGCTGACTGACCTGTACGAACACAAGCAATTTGCACCCAAGAATAATCGTAAATTTAATAACACTCTTCCACTTGGTTGCTAAAATTTAGTGTAGAATGTCACTAATAATTGCATCTAGAAATATTAAGCTACTTGGATACGTGATATCTCATCTGATCTAAACATGAAATACCACTAACGCTACAACAGAACATTGTCTCACAGCTGTTAAGGCAGGAAAAAAAAAAACAAAAACACTAGAATCTACAAGTGGCAAATTAGGCGAGGTTACCGGAGCCATACAGCATGGGTATTAACCATTATGACACAGCGAGGTGCAGCAGGTTCCGTAATCTCAATTAGCTGGAGGTGCGGGTCAGCCAAGCAGGCTGCATGACAGACGACGCTTACGCTGTTCTCTCAGCCGATTGGATACTTCAAACTAATAATGGGGTTTGACTTAAAAAAGCCTCTAACGGAGGCAGCTTGATTGCTGAAAAGCACTCAAAGGGGCACAGACGTCGGAGGAAAGTGTTACTATTTAAAATAAAATAACGGTCGTATTAGCTGTTATTTTAAATATGGCACATCTCTATCTATACCTCAGCCCCAAAGGAATAGATACATAATAAATATTATTTTATAAAGAAAAAAATAGTATGATGAGCATTTTTTCTGAATATTATTTCTCTACAGTATCCCTGCTTACTATACAATTAACTACTTTGAATAGCCAGCAATGTGGACAAGACCAATTTATCGCAAGTCCTCTATAAGCAATTACTCACAATTCATAGCTATTTCCAACAAAATCGCACACATAAATATCTCCAAATTGTATATTCCAGTATCTTTCATAAAATACAGCAGAAATACATAAATGGCCCTAAATAATGTCTATTTACTGCGAATTGTTCTTTACAGAGTGCGGTGGTAAATGCATGTGGAAATACAGGGAACTAAAAAATGCTTGTTAAAAAAATAATTTAAAAAGCTGAAGGAGAAATCTCCTTACGGAGGCAGGCGCTTAGTGTCTGAATGGCCCAGGAGGTAAATCAATATTCCCTGACAGCCTGGTAGTCTCTGTTTATCTAGTGAAGATGACTTGACTTAATTCACTAGGCTGAGAGTTAGTGAACCTTGAAGGAGTCGTAATAACTTTCATTGTCTGACTCTTGGGGTGTGTATACACACACACACACACACACACACACACACATACCTGTGTAAATGGTGACCATCCATTCATTTCTATGGAAAAAAACATAATTCCAATCACAAGACCCTTAACCCCTACCCAGCACTAACCTTACCTATAAGTAACCAAACAAGATACAGGACTTTTGGCATTTGTACTTTTTTGATTGCATTCACAGATTTTTTTTTTATAAAACTGAGGTTATCCAAATGGGGACCTGAAAAAATGTCCCCAAAAGTGAGGATGTTTCAGGTTGTACTTCACTTTGGGGACATTCTTGTCCACAAATGTGATCTATGAAAACCCCCCCCCACACACACACACACACATCCACAGGTATGCCACCAGTTAACTCAAATGGTGTCAATTAACCTATCAGAAGCTTCTAGAGCTTTTCTGTGTTGTTTAAAGACATAATAAATTTAGTGTACATAAACTTCTGACTTTGATGAAAGTAATAAAAATAAAAAGTTTAAATTTCTCTCTCTTTATTCTGACATTTAACAAATACAAAAACATTTGGTGATCCCAACTGACCTAAAACAGAAAAAGTTTACTCTGATTTAATGTTCGACAGTGAGAAAAAAAAATTTTTCTGAAGTGCATGTAAACTTCTGGTTTCATCTGTATGTATATCACAGTACATCTGATTGGCTTCCCAGCAGTCCAGTGAACGTAATGACTCACAATTTATTAATTCATTGTCATGAGATGCCTGGAAAACCCCTTGTGCAGTGTGCAGTGCTTACAGATGTGATGTTAACACTCCTACTGGCTCAGATTCCACTGACATTTTGTGGTGGTGGAAGGATCAGGAGCTGCCACCTGACATTTGTGCCCACTGCTCATTGTGTACGGAATAGGTGACAGAGGACCAGCCATGCCAGAATCAGAGGGTCAAAAGCCAAAAACAATTAACCTTCTTTGGATTGTCCTGTATCATTTTTTCCACTGACAGAACAGCGACTGATATTATTTAGTAGCTAGACAGTTAGAGGCCTTAATGATGTTAATGCCGGGCTGTGGGTTACAGTGGTTAAGGCCGCAAGGTTCCTGGCTAAAATCCCTGGGTCCCTAATTACTTAGTTCACCTGAATTATCCCAGCGAAATATCTGGCAGTAAAAAGGGGCAAAGCGACAATACAGTGTATTTGTTTTGCTTGATGCTTAGCTACCTAAAGCTGACGGCCATGATTTCAACTAACAAAACATAGCAGTGTTGCTTTGGTAGTGAGCTTTTTTTTTTTTAAAGAAACTTATTAGCTGTTTCTGAAAAGATTGTGTAATTAGTTACTTAGCTGCCTATTATTCAGCTAACCCAACCTGTTGTGGAGAGTCATTTTTTAAAATATTTGAAGTATTTATAGCAGAATAAATCATTCAGTCGATGACTTAAAAACAAAATATCTGCCATACATCAGTTACAAAATCCTTTCATTGCAGAGTCACGCTCCTTGCCACCCTAACCACAACTCATCACTGTTCTCCATTTATGTTTTAATGAGATATTAGAGCTAATATTCTATTGTAACCTCTTATATTCTTAACTGAAAATAAAGCATATAGGTATGTTCCTTTTGTGAGTACAACTGCACTAATGTGTTGCCCCACACTCTTGATTTTCTTAACCGTAGATAATCTATATTTCTCAGATATAATAAATGCTGACCTGAAATACAATCAAGGAAAGACTGAAGGCCGCATATAGAAAACTGCAATTTATGTTTTGGAGTCAAACCCTGCAACGGCGATCTATTAGGATAAACAAGAGCAACAATCGCTAAATTATTGATTTCCTCATTATGCCTTTTGTCAGGACCATTTAGTGACTTTAAAAATGAGCTTTCATTAGCCACTTCCAGGAGAAACAAACCTGACATTGATTTATAGCATGCAACATAATCAATAGATACAGTGGAGTACAGAGCAGGGGATTGTGGGACATGATGAGAAGGCGGGTCCAGCGTCTGAACGTTTCGGCTGCTGCGTTGGGGCTGCCAATGGTATCTGCTTGCTTATTTTGCTTAGCAGACATATTCAGGATGGTTACACTGTGCATTCTGTATGTCACAAATACCTGCACTATCTCATACAGGTATTTATATTCACAACAATAGCTGTACTTTATAGCAGAGTAGCAAGACCATGCTGACCATCTAGTCAAAAATTCTGCGGTCGAATGGGTTGCTACCTAAACTTTGGCATAATTATATAATGCATATTTTACCCCCATCTTTTAAAATCCTACAATACTTTTCTTACATTAAATTCATTTTTTGAATCCATTAATCGTGCACTATGCAACTTTTTCCCGTTTTGCAGGGCTGCACTTTGCAATAATATTTATCGAGGCCTTGTACACTGTGGTGCTGCTTAATGTTTTTGTTGTTTCTTTCTGAGGACTTGGAGACAGAAGGTCAAATCAAATCAAGCCAATTTGCCATGTACTTAAACATCCTGCAAACTCAGTGTTGGGCACCACAACATATACCAGCACGTCACAGCCCGCAGAAAGCCTGATTCATGGCTTCTCATCGGCTTAAACATGTAACGCTAATACATACAATGAAACAGTCCTGATCCCTCCTAAATGGCCTGGAGGAGTACATGATTTCAGGACCATTATAATAGCACAATGGATTAAACATATTTTGCCTTTTGAGATTAAGTACAGATTATGTGCAATATAAGTGTTCTCTGGGTAAGTTGTTCTTTCTGCATATAATCATTAGCAGCAAAGGCAGATGATAACAGACACGATGCAGTGTCAAGATGTGAAAAATAAATCTGCAAGGAGAAATATTCATAGAAAAAAATCATGTGCATAATAACAGAAATGCAAAGTTGAAATTGCCTTCAGCTAAAAGCAACATCTGATTATGAAATATATATTCAGTTCTGTTCCTTGGTTGTTTTAATCGGTTCAGATGACAGAAATTCCCACCTCTTACACTGTATCTTAGACACTGGTCACAATATTCCCCTCAGCTTGAACTCCAGGTACCAGGAGGCCATTTTAACTGGCCACCAAGTGGAAACTCTTCCCACAGAGACAGTGTTTAAACAGCACTGATGATGTCAGCAGACCAGCCAGGTTTCCGTGGTAATGTTCTTACTGCATTAATGAGAATTATCCTCGGAGGAGAAGTCTTTTTCTCCCTGGGCCTGCCTGTCTCATATTATCCCTAGGTGAGACAGCTTATTGCCCAGAATAGAGTGCCATTATTTTAATCAGTTTTAACTACAAAAACATAACAAAGCCAGGACTAAGGTCTGTTCTATCTTTTATCGAAATAGAGAATAGCAAAAAGATCATATCACAGGGAATGACAACTACACCTGCACACTTTACAGTCAACCCTTGGTACACTACACAACAAAAGAATCAACGACACTGGTCTGTGTTGCAGAATGTACACTGGAGTATGGCAAATAGAAGAGCACACAACGCTGCAGCTCACTGGGAAGACCAATAAAGATCGTCTTCTGGCTCTCTAGTCGATTCTCTCCACTTAACCTAACAAGACCGTCCCCACGACAAATCACGGCCTGCTCTCATTTCTCATTAGGTAATTAGGAGTGTCCCATTCGTCTAATTTGATTTCCATCTGTTTCCTTTCGGCTGGTGGACACTATGGCCATCATCTCCATCAGCGGTGCTGACAGATGATGTTGGGACAACTCCAACAGCATAAGGTCTATAGTGAGATCATAAATACCACGGGGAGTAATATGTCTCTGTAGCAGTGCTTCCAATTG